GCATCGTATTGTAACTAGTTATATATGTAAAACTCCATGACTTCTGTTCTTGTATAAAATTATTTCATATTGAGTGTTTGTGAGGCTTGACAGATTTTTGATGTCTTTCTCTGCAGTGGCATAAACTTCGATTCAATGTGCTTCGATAGGAGAGTGAAGCACATTTATACATGCGTCTTGGTGGTCCAAGTGTTGTTTTTTTTTTAATCCAATCAGTTATTGACATTGCTATTAACTAGAAACGCTTCTTTGATGTCTTCTCTCTCTCTCTCTCTCTCTCTCTCTCTCTCTCTCTCTCTCTCTCTCTCTCTCTCTCTCTCTCTCTCTCTCTCTCTCTCTCTCTGACATTGCATAGTAAAAATTATCGATGAATATTAAAATAAATTTGGAACCGTGTTATATTACTTCTGTCTATCCCGCCTCATCATATGGTACAATTCCTTTGTGATAACAAACGTAGAGTTTACTTTTGTTATTTTATAAGATAACTTTGCTGTTCAAAAATACAAAAAGAAAAATGTTACAATCAGTCTTTGACTTAGTGACAAATTTGTTATAAAATATGTGATGAGAAATTAACTAATCTTGAATCTTCCGTTTTCAAAACAAGTGAGCACAAAATCATATCCTTACGGGAAAATTCCTAACTTTATATGGGTAATACTCTGCATTAAATTTAAAAATAAAAGAAAGAAATACAATTTGGTAGTACTTTTCATGCCTTTTCTTTAATCTTGAATAACTAGATGTAACATTAGCCAGACTAGATTCAGCGATGGGCTAGAAGAAATGTATGACAAATATTTTGCAACACATTTACGAATTTACACCTCAAATTCGACTTGAAATTGTAGTTAGATACAAATAACTGCCCTGGATAGAGCGTAAATATTCATCGCATCATAAGCATATTATATCCAGTGTACAGACCATAGATACAAATGTCAGTCATAGTGCGAATGGCAAAATGGCAATGAAATATGAATCAACCTTTGACTCACATTAAATTATTTTTGAAAAAAACAACAACAAATATATCCGACGTAAATATTCCCATGTTCGTCATTCAAAATGTCCCCGTTCCCAAAATCAGCCAAATTTAGAGTGATGTTTTTTGCAAACATACTATCTGTAATATACGTAACAACATTTTGGTGAGAATATTAAATTTCCTTTAACGACCATACAGACTCCATGTATTATACTTCCCGCCAAACAGACCAAACATATGAAAATGTTAGATTTTGCCGCCAAACATACCTATCAAGTAAGAAATATGGACATTTTTATAAACAACTTAAACAACTGCTTAACATTAATCACTATTCAATATCTTCGTCTAGGAAATCATTAATGTTCACTTCTGTTTCATTATAATCTTATCATAAGAAACGAGATAAGTGGTGTATTTTGTTTCCACTTCTGGCCAATACGCTGCATCAATGGCATCAATGACGCGTGCATTAGTTTGAAAATTCAAAAACAACATAAGTATTGGAAAAAAACAAAACATGATATAATTGGACTTAAGTCAGGTCACCCGTTATTTAGGCTAGCGTTAATTTCATTCTTTGAATGAGCTTAAATTTAAAATAAGGAATGCAGTTTAATTATTTGTAAATTTAAACAAAGACCGTTCCATGATTTGACATTACAGAAAATTATAACATATTTGCTTAGGCATCTTTATGATAATTTATCTTACGAAATTATTCTTGCCAAATATATATTTTAATTTTGGTTCCTTTAAATTTGTGAGTTGATATGCGTTGTTCATCTTTTATCAAAGCTTATAGTACCGTCAAGAGTCACACAATCGTTGAGGTGTATGGTGAGGTGAGTCTTCCCCTGGCCCTGGTTTGCATTTCCATTATTATTATTAAGCAATGACAAGCTGGCGACGTTAATCGATCACATTTATTCTTCGTAAATCATCTGTCTCACAAGAAACACGAACTTAACACCATTAAAAAGCATGTATCTCTATAAACTACCAATTCTATTACTAATGCCACGAAGATAACTTCTGAATGACTTGAAATATGATATAAGTTGTCGACCTTCTTTTATAAACGTTTACTCGCTAAGTTAAACTGATCATTTTTCAACATTAATTGTGATCATTTTTCAACATTAATTGTGATTAAAAATGACGGCAAAATACAATGAAAATAAATTTAATACAAGTTAAAATATTCATTATTTTCTTTGAAAATTAAACACCAATAGTTATACTGTAAGAGAGCCTTTACATATTGCAAACTTCATTTGATTCTTGTAGTCAAATTTCCATTGCATAACTTGCAAATTAGAACCAGTTTCAGACTTAACAAATCACACTCAAGGCTCTTTTATCACAAATATTATTTTCCTTTCGCCAAATATTGAACCAAGAAATCTATAATTTCTTGTTTTAATGAAGATGTATTTGCCTTCGAGAATCATCTGTCGGGCTAGTTGAAGCAATTGATCCTTTTCAAGAACTCTAGACGTTCTTGGCTAGGATTTAAAACTATGATCTCTATTTTTTTTAAAAAATGTGTAAGCTTGTTGCTTTCACTACGTAACATCAAAGAAATTATGAGGCTAAGAAATTTTGGAAATAAAATAAATTTAAATTTCAAAACAATTTTAATTTCTTTGAAATTCGTATCACGGACCAGCCATCAATTTTCTGCTTCTACCCTATGGTCACAAACTTGTGGTGAAATGAAGCAATACCAACAAAATTTGTAAAACGTATCAAATAATATAATTATTGCAGTGATAAATTATTGTATCATTAGGTAAATCCAAAACTGTCCTTGTAAAAAAAATCCTAAACGAATAAAAAGTTCAATATAAGTTTAAAATCGGAAATATACTGGTACTCCAAGAAACGTGATGTTGTCAAGATAGCGTTGTCCGGAATTTTTTCAAATAATTTATAGTAGTTCCAGAATAATATTATTGTCAAAAATTAACAATTCCTATAAAAATATATAACTACAATATAAATAACGCCTGCAGACTTAGATCAAGGACACAAAGTGTGAACAACTCTAGAAATCGGAATAAAACTGAATGCTTAACTTTCTCTTCATATGCATAAAAGATTGCGACTGTATTTCGCAATGGATACCATATTGATTTACGACTTTCTATGTCACTACGTACTATATTCACATAACCTCACACAACCCATTGAAACATTTACAGAATTCTTCTCGAAACTTCCATATCCCACCAGTCATTGATATGCGCCTTCTTAACTCTTATTACTGATTGCCAACACTTACGTAAAGAACTATTTATAGGTCCTACGTGATTTCTAAATTATGCACACGATTTATATCATTGAATATCCATTACAGTTTACGAGCATGAACAAGAATTATGAGCATATTATACCAGTAGTTACAGAAATATAGATATACATAGCACAATATATTATCCATGTTAAGCTAGTCTAGTTTGGACTGTCTAAATTATGCACATGATTAATATCTTTGAATATCCATTACAGTTTACAAGCATGAACAAGAATTATGAACATATTATATCAGAAGTTACAGAAATCTATTATCCATGTTAAGCGAGTCTAGTTTGGACTGTTGATAGATCAAGACTTGTTTTACTATTCTCAAGGCTATGGATCTGAAGGAGTGTGCTTCAAACATATAACATCTCTTCAAACAGAAAGTGTGCATAAAGCAAACATGTTACTGTAGTAAGTCGACAATAAAAACAACGCTTTCAGTTTTATGAAATTGATGAATGAAAGCTATTGCCATGAACATTTCTCACATAGTGTTTAGCTGTCTTAAGAAACTTAAAGTTAACTAGCGTTCCTTTCTCATTTTCCTATAAAACATCAAAAATAAAAGAACCGTAAATGGTGTCCTCTCTCTCTCTCTCTCTCTCTCTCTCTCTCTCTCTCTCTCTCTCTCTCTCTCTCTCTCTCTCTCTCTCTCTCTCTCTCTCTCTCTCTCTCTCTCTCTCTCTCTCTCTCTCTCTCTCTTAAAACAGTTTTTATCCTCCCTGACTTTGGCTCGTTGCGCCTGACTCATTTCAGTGGAAAAAAAATGTGAATAATCTGAAAGTTCAAAACTCTTCCTCGGATGAACAAACGAGAAGAAGAAGAAGAAGAAGAAGAAGAAGAAGAAGAAGAAGAAGAAGAAGAAGAAGAAGAAGAAGAAGAAGAAGAAGAAGAAGAAGAAGAAGAAGAAGAAGAAGATATGGAAGAAATTTTGTGTTCGAATTGTCATCAACCTGGTATTTTACCATGTCTCAAAGTAGATGTAAAATGAGAGTTCGAGATTTTGGTAATATATTCAACCCTTCTGTCCAGTATGATTTTACCCTACCTAATATGCAGACTTGGATGTAACTCGTGTGTATGCCCTTTGCTGAAAATAATTTCGGTGATCAGTTGCACCTAATGGTCATCCTCCACGAGAATTAAAGGTTTTCGGGAATATTTACGAGATCCCGCTGGGACATTCACGACCATTTACTCGATTTATACCACATGAAAATCATTTTTCACTTTTGCTACTGTCCAGAATGCACTATCTCCACTATCTCCACGATTTCGATACTGCACCCTTACTCATCGAAAGGTTTCTATTTGTGCCATCAAAGATCCGAACTCGGTTGAGTAGCCGTTTCATCTTCGATGACCACATAATACAATTTGGCAATTATTTTTAAGACTATTTTGTGCTGCCAAGAAAAGTTCCAAATAGACATTTCTCTTTCTATTTGTTTCGGAACCACTAGCAATATCAGTAAATATTAATGGCTGTTTCATCTCGCCACTTTGATCATATTTTTTGCCATCTAGGTAGCTTTTAGGGTATATCATAGTTCTTCGATTAAGAACGTCATACAGGGCATCGCATAAGTTTTCTTTACTTCCTCAAATTCCTCAAACCTTTCCTTCATCTGTTTCACCCCCCTGGGCCCTAAATGAGGACTTTCTTCTTACATCCCTATCTTTCCACCACATAGCATAAACCGCTCTGGTGGCCTAGTAGTTAGAGCTTCTGCCTAGGATCCAGGGGATCGTGGGTTCGATCCCCGGTCGAGTAAAACAAAGACTTACAAAAATGGTTTTAACAGGTGCCTCACTTGAGGCTCTGTATTAGAAGGTTAGTGTTAGGACTGCTCACTCAGCCTTGTGTCAGGATAATGCGAATGTGTCTGCGACATGCTGCCCCAGTGCTAGACATCACTATGAACTGCCACATTTCAGTCATCATAACGATGTGACTGAAAAATTATTAAAGCTACGTTAAAAATAATAATCACATTAAATCCACATATGATCTTCTTTTCCAGACAGTTCTGCCATTGATCCTAATAATAATAGTCCAGATTGTTTTCACATAGATGAGTAAGTCTATAAGGAACAGCATCAACGATACGAGAGATGATGATTCAACATCGGTCCACATCTTTATGACCAAAACAGGTGAGGGCAATGAAGTGAACCGCGTTTATTTATAGTGGAAGAACGGATCGAAACGGATTTAAATTGTTCACCAAACCCAAAAAGCGTAACAAACTTTGGTCTCTTCGCGGAGTCTGATTTCCAGAGTGCTATCTGTTACGCCACATTCCCCGAATAGGTGCACTAACGTTTGTGCGCAGTGAATTTATGCGATATGTATTATTTTGAACATGACGGTGCCTAAGAAAATGATGAATTGAGGTGCACCGGCTATGGAGTCAGAAAGCGATGGTATAACAGCGGATACTAAAGTGAACACAGCGCAACATCCCGAAGAGGTTGATTTCAACTTGAATTTAGTAGATTTTCTCTCCTCGCAAGAATTTGTTCCAGTACCAGCACCTTTGCCACCGTCTCCTTTACCAAACGTCGACGATTTTAGACAAAGAGAGAAAGAAGAATTAGAGAAAGGTTTACTGCAACAGAAAGAAACAGAACTAGCATTTCTCCATAAACAGCAACCACGAGAAGAAGAGAAGGCAATATTGAAACGACAGAAAGAAGAAGCATTAGAAAAGAAACAAAGACTAGAAGAGAGAGAGAACAGTAAAAGTTAAACTGGAAATGTACTCTTGGATATTTTGGCAGAGTTAAAAAGTCTGAAACAAATGTAGTATCAGTCTTCTTTATTACGACCCAAGAGAAAAAGACTTTCCTGCGCTAAACAGCCTAACCCTGTTACTACACCAGAGGTACCACCCCTAGTGATTTTTACGAAATCATTCACAGGATCAAGTCCATAAGTAGGCCGTGGCCATGACAGAGTGTTAATGCTATTAAAGCGAATTGCTTATTGATCCTGAGTTTGTTCTCAGGAAAAATACTCAACGGGATGTATGTGGTTGAGTGAGTGTGTGTAGACTAATTATTCGAAACGATCAAACAAAAGGAGACACGTTTTATTTTCAGTCTGGCCTATTCTGGTATAAATATTTACAAAGCAATTCACAAAAGAAACACTTTTTTTCAAAATGTACACAGTCTTCTCCTGTGTCGGTTTTTGGTTCACTCTGCTTTAGTTTAATATTGTCAATTTCAGGTTTTTCCTCCTCTTCTTCTTCCCTTTTGATCTCTTTCTTTTTTCTCTTTCCGAATGTCTCAGAGTTCTTCTTTCCCAAAGGCACCTCTTTGTCCTCCTACTTGCTCCAGTTGTGTCGTAGGACAATCTGAAGACCGATGACCTTTCTCTTGACAATGATAACAGGTAACTTTACTTTTATCTCTTCTGTCAATGGTCTTGCCTTTATGAAGATCTAAAAATTCTGTAGCCCAATTCCTTTCATATAGCAGTTATCTTGACTTTGATCTAGAAAGACGAGTGAATATTTCGTCGGATTTTCTGAAGGAAACTTTCTTTTAATATCTCGCAAAACTTTAATCAAAAGTTTAATCCATGTTGGTTCTACCATCGTGCTGATCGGTTTGAGAGTTTTAGAGCAAAATCAATACTGAGAGAAGTCACCAGTCCTTTAAATATATGTATATATGTATATGTATATATATATATATATATATATTTATATATTTATATCTATATATATATATATATATATATATATATATATATATATATATATATATATATATATATATATATATATATATATATATAACGTCTATATTTGGTTGTACCCGACGCGAGAAAATATCGGCCAAATTTGACATCGTTGCTCACAACAAAATTATTTTCATTATATTTCGAGTCCAGATACTGTCTTCTTCGATGTGGAAAAGTATTTGGATATCTGACATGCAGTTCAAAAAATCAGATCGTCTGCGAATGGTGCAATTTCGATGAAAAAGTCTTACTTTAATTGTCATGTAATCAGATTGATCAACAGTTTGATATTTCCTGGGATTTTACCGACACAAAAAGATTTTATCTTAATTTTAATCCCTATTGTCCACAGAGTCTAAATTGCCCCTACTGTGACTCAATATGTCACTGGGTGTGTTTGTGTAAATAGATTCAGTCAGGTTTTTTCGACGCTATTGATTCACGTGTTTGTTTTGTTTTAGTGTTCATGAAAACTGTTATTATTACAAAGCAAGAAATTTACACACTTTTAAGTGAAAGGAAACGAGGCAATCAAATTTCCTTTTAATAAAAATATTTACAAAGAGTGGTAAATGAAACATGCAAGCCATTACATTTATTTTAATTTTTACCAGATACAAATACACATACATATGTTTCCAAAGGAGTTAAGAATAAATACATAAAGTTTAATCGGAGTGACGTCTAGAACTATCACGAGATATATTGTGAGAATGCATGTAAATTCGGTTGGTCTAGTAATTTGCTTCAGGCGGAGTGCCCCGAATATGTTTTAGGGACTTGATGGAAAAGACCTAGGATGATCTGATTGCAAGAAACCGTGAATTGGTGTAGGGTGTTAACACTTGACATCCCTGCTTAGTTTTTCCGTTAAAACGTTTTTATACACTATTTCGAATCGTTGTGGAAATTTCTATTTTTCATGCAAAAAATGTAGAGTTTATAAAGACTTTCTTCAATATTAGCAATGAATATTGCCTTGAATATCATCACTTTTTGCAAGGTAAAGATGCAACGATATATTGTTGAATAGGTAATTAAGCGAGAGCATGACAATTTCATCTAAACAAAGTGGACTTTATGAAATGGTTTGATATACAATCACTTTGGGAGCGTATGCGGTCGTAGAGTATGATATCATTTACTAACGGAGATTGATCATATTGCTTTACCATCGAATAATATTAATAATAATAATAATAATAATAATAATAATAATAATAATAATAATAATAATAATAATAATAATAATAATAATAATAATAATTTAATGATAATAAAACGTTTTGTCACGAAAGACCCATAAATCTCATGGTTCTCAAATTATTAATGGGCTTTATTATACCAGTCACGTAGACACATTCAAGTATATTCACACACACACACACACACACACACACACACACACACACACACACACACACACACACACACAAACACACACACATCAAATTTTAAATGGAATTATTTATATAAATACACTGGTCAATATGTACATATATGAATAGATACTGTACTAAGGTATACATATTGCAGTTGTCAGAAGTCAAAATGATATACAACAGATAAAATACATCCAAATTATATTTTGAATACAAAGATACAATTGTGTTTTGGTAGGTTTTTATACGTTATTATATTTGCTCATAAAAGAACTGTTTTAGTGAGGTTTTAAATGAAGCCGATTAATTTGAATTTTGTGTTTACGGAGATAGGGAATTTCAGAAAGCAGGCGCTCATCATTAAAAGTACATTGGATGTGGTTGTTTTTTTTTGTTTGTTTTTTTTTTAAATACGAAATCTGGAATGGTTTTATTACACTCAGTATATAATGATCTTAGCTCGTCCATTTACCACCTTTATATAGATTTTTATTATGTTCTACCTGTAAACATGTTGTGCGAGAAAGAACATAATTACTTTCATGCATTTATATTCACGTCAGGAAAAGGATCTGAAGTTAGAGCACGGATTCTTTTCTCAAGCATTCTGCCATGTCAGACTATACAGTTTTTATATTTATGCAGCATATTATTGGGCGCTTTGATCATGCAACGTAAATCTTAAAATAATATATATATATATATATATATATATATATATATATATATATATATATAGAGAGAGAGAGAGAGAGAGAGAGAGAGAGAAAGAGGGAGAGGGGGTTTCAAAGTCAAAGAGGATTCTTGGCCATAAATCCTTACATCCTCTGAAATAAATATATTCTGACATTTTCATCACTTACCACCCCAGAGACTCACTTTCCCTAGAAAACACCCTCGAATTTCATAAAATGATGACATTTTGGAACCAAAATGGAATTCTATCTCAATAGATATTTTTTCTCATATTAAACAATAAAATATTATAAAATGTCATTCTGTTATTCAATTTGACATGTTGAATTTGATTTAACAAACAAATTTCGAAAGATATTTAATTTAATCAAATCAGCTTTAAATAATACTTATAACAGCTAAAATAATAAACAATTGTATCAAAAAGCTGATTGTTATATATCACCAAAATATGGTTCAGAATGGTTATTCGCGACTGAAAATGACGAACGAATAAGAATTTGGACAGATGTTCTCAGAAGCGATGCCCTATTTGCTTTTTATTAAATAAGGGAGATAATACTACTCCAGCTAAATTTAAAATCTTTTGTAGTTATCTAACATTGAATAATTCTCTTTGTTTTCATTTATGTTTTGTTTTTGGTTTTGGTTTTGTTAGGTTACATGTGTCACTATTCCTAAGACTTTTATCTAATAGCAATTTTAAGACATATGCACTCTGGTAGCAGTTCTGTAATTAACGAAATGACTAGGAATTTCTCTTTGATAAATGTCAGTAAATAACATTATATAAACATAGTTACCATCGATTCTCGCTTACAAGTTTTGTCCAACTGCAAACTGCGCAGAACCAAATACGCTGTCTTTAATACAACAGAAGATCTTGGTCTACGCATCCTTGCTAAAAGTTATCTATATAAACATAAATTCATCTTTCAGTTTTCCAA